ACTGTTTCCTATTGTTTCCTAACACTTAATGAACGTTATAGCTCACTCTTTTTTCTTTTTTTTTCTGGTTTTAGGGCCCAACAGGTTGGATGCTGATCAGATGTAAGTGTGACAGCAGTTATGAATCAGATCATTTAATCCCACTGGTTTGTTTCTTTGTACTTTATTCATGCAGACACTTTAGAGGAGAGTTTTTTGTAATGATGCCAGTAGAAACTGGATTACTTGAATAGATTTTTAAAATCAACATTTGGATTATTCTTTTTGTATTGTTCCATAAATAATGGTTGTTTTTCTGACGGACATGCAAAAATCATTCTGGGACGTTTGATTGACGAACTAAACTCGAAAACTCTACTTAAAGACTACATTTAGATGTAGGATGAGGTCAGATATATTCAAATCAGTACATGGTTTAACAAAAGAACAATAAACTATTTTCTTAAGTTACTCCAGTGTATTTATGTGGAGTGTGATCACCTCTAATACTGGATATTTTAACATATGTGCTTTCTATTAGTAGCAGGTTTTCAAACTGTATTTAGTTTTTTCTGTGTCAGATCAGACTAAAAGTAGAGTAAAATAATCTGAATGAGTTTAGAAATGTCGCATCAAAGGGATAAAAACACTGATATGACATTTTTTTCCCTTCATTTTAGGTCTGAAGGATCTTCCAAAGTTTTTAATTTTGTTGCTAGTTTTGCTGCTGGTCATTGTGATTTTTGTTTTTGGTTTCAGTGTGTATCACAGCTTGCGTGCACAGGGCTTTAACAGTTCACTGGCTTTGAATTCCTCTGATCAGCTCTTTTCCCCTCCGTTTTAGGGTTTCGGAATCATCGAAAACAAATCGCTTTGTTTGCTTTGGGGTTAACCATCTATGTTTCTCGGCAGTATATAAAAAGCATATGGAGCTTCATAAGTGAGTCATACCAACTTGTTAAAATACCCTTTTTCTGAGGATACAGATGTCCACTGTAACATGTCTGTATTATCTCAAAGGCTTCGGGACACCAGGTTATGACAATGGAAATGAATCAATATTATGCTTTACGGAATCTTCAATATCTGCAGAATGAATTACAATGACAGCTTATGAATA